ACAACAACATCATCATCATCATCATCATAATCACCATCATCATCATCATCATCATCATCATCACCATCGTCATCGTCATCGTCATCGCAACCACCTCCACCACCAACATCACCATCTTCAGCATCAGCATCATCACCATCACCATCAGCATCGCCATCGTCATCGTCATCGTCGTCATCATCATAAGCATCATCGTCATCATCATCAGCAGCATCATCAACATCATCATCACCATCGCCATCGCCATGGCCATCGCCATCATCATCAGGATAGTCAGCGAAATCGTCATCGTCCTTGTCATTGTCTTGGTCGTCGTCGTCGTCGTCGTCGGCGTCGTCGTCGTCGTTTACATCATAATCACCATCGCCACCACCACCAAGACGGCACCGAGACGGCCCCAAGACGGCCCAAGGGGACCTCCCGTTGGGACCCAGGACACTTCGAAGGCCCTTCGACGGCCCAAGACGGCGCCAAGACGGCCCCACGACGGTCCACAGACACCAACCATACTGCCAAGAGGGCCCCAAGGCGGTCAAAGAGAGCCCCAAGACGGCCCAAGAGGGACCCAAGGAACCTCCTGGGACTGCCCCACATGAGGCCACGACAACGCCAAGACGGTCCAAACAAGCTGCATCATTATTATCACCATTAACCACAACAACAACAACAACATCATCATCATCATCATCATCATCATCATCATCATCATCATCATCATCATCATCATCATCATCATCATCATCATCGTCATCGTCATCGTCATCAGCATCAGTATCATCGCCATGATCATCATCATCATCATCACCATCACCAGCATCAGCATGAGCATCATCATCATCATCATCAGCAGCAGCATCATCATCACCAGCATCAGCAGCATCAGTAGTATCGTCATCATCAGCGTCATCATCATCATCATCATCATCAATTTCATCAGCAGCATCATCATCCTCATCATCATCATCACCTTCATTATCATGATCATCATCATCATCACCATCATCATCATCGGCATGATCATCATCAACATCATCTTCAGTATCAGCACGAGCATCATCATCGCCATCAGCAGCATCATCATCAGCATCATCATCATCATCAGCATCAACACCATCAGCATCATCATGATCATCAACATCAGCATCAGCATCGGCATCAGCATCAGCATCATCACCATCGTTGTCATCATCAGTATCGTCACCGTCATCGTCATCATCACCAACAAGAACAACATAATCAGCATCAGCATCAGCAGCATCATTACGAGCAGCAGCAGCAGCATCATCAGCATCAGCATCGTCAGCAGCATCGTCGTCATCATCATCCTCATTATCACCAGCATCATCAGCATCGTCATCTTCATCGTCATAATCAGTATCCGCCGACCCCTTGGGGATCATCGGCGTGTGAGATGCTTCCCCCTCCCCAAACCCCTCCCCCGGGAGCCCGGTCCGGTCGATTTGGAGGGGGGGGGCGTCCGGGACGAGCGCAACACGGCCGGGACGAGCGGTTCACGGGGCTTTTCCGGGCCCAAGAGGGCCTCAAGACGGGCCAAGAAGCCCCCAAGAGGCCTCCAAGACGGCCCACGAAGGCCCCGAGACGCCAAACGACCGCTCCAAGACGCCCAAGATGGCCCCAAGACGGGCCAAGAGGTCTCCAAGACGGCCCCCGAGGTCCCAAACAAGCCTCCCAAGAGGGCCCCAAGAGTCTAAAATTGTTGATTTTCCATTGTGTTTTCGATGTTTGTTGCTTTTCCGCCTTTTTGGCTTCCCGACGCTCCAAGACGGCCACAGAGGCCCCAAAGACAGCCCCAAGATGGCCCAAGAGGCCCCCAAGACGGCCTCCAGACGGCCCAAGACGGCCCCAACACGGCCCAAGAGGTCCCCAAGACGGCCCAAGAGGGCTCCAAGACGGCACCAAGAGGGGCCCAAGAGGGCGACCAAACATGTTGAAACTCTAGCTTTCTGCCCCCAGGAGCCCCAGGGGGCCCCAAGAGTGCCCCAAGAGGCCCCCAGAGGCCCTCACGAGGCCGCCCAGACGCCCCAAGGAACCCCCAAGAAGCACCCCAGAGGCTCCGAAACGGCCCCCAAGTGGCTCCAAAACTCGCTTCCAGAGGCCCCCGAGAAGCGATCCGCGAGATCCCGATACACATACAAGAAGCCTCTCACCCATAACCCATAACCCAGAGCCGTTTCTCCGTGTCCCCCTTCTCCTCCTCCTCCTTTTCCTCCACCTGGGCCCCCAAGTGGTTCCAAACTGCCTGCCATAGGCCCCCGAGAGGCGTGCCGCGAGATCCCGATACACATACAAGACGCCTCTAACCCATAACCCATAACCCAGAGCCGTTTCTCCGTGTCCCCCTTCTCCTCCTCCTCCTTTTCCTCCACCTGGGCCCCCAAGTGGTTCCAAACTGCCTGCCATAGGCCCCCGAGAGGCGTGCCGCGAGATCCCGATACACATACAAGACGCCTCTCACCCATAACCCATAACCCAGAGCCGTTTCTCCGTGTCCCCCTTCTCCTCCTCCTCCTTTTCCTCCACCTGGGCCCCCAAG